TTCAACATATATTCTGTTGAGGAAGAACACCCATAACTATCTAAAATCACTTCCTCTCTGTTATGTGTAACCACTGTTTCCTCAGAACTAGGAAATGGCACAGAAGTAATAGACTCAGTCAATTCCAAATCTTTTGAACATGAAGAAGCCTCAAGATCATCTACGTATATTTCCCTGGCATCTCTTGCATAACAATCTCCCGACATCACACCAGAATCATCATGTGTAGATCTTTTCGAATATAAATCATCTATAGAGTTATTTGACTGAATACAACGCCTTAAGCAGACCATAGTTGCCTCATTTGAAAGGGAATCCAGATCTGCTCCGACAAAACCGTGTGTAGCCACAGCAAGCTGCTGGATTTGAGTAGATGAAAGAGAATGTTCCATTCTATCAAGAAGAGTAGTCAATATATCAAGTCGTTGATCAGGAGATGGTACACCTGTGTAAATATATACATTAGTAAATTATCTACTCCTAGGATGATGCCTATGCTGTTCATGCACCACATAATATAGTGCGAAGTATATCATTATCTTGTACATGTATAGAACATCATATGCAAAGCATTGGCAACACAGAGCTCACATCATATCATATGGAGTTTGTGATGTGGCAGCACAAGGATATACAATACCCTTTTGGAAGATAATTTACCTATTTCAATTTCTCTATCTAGTCTCCCAGGCCGTCTAAGTGCAGGCTCAATACACTCGAGCCTATTGGTAGCAGCAACTACAAGAAGACCATTTGTTATGCTTATCCCATCCATCAAATTCAGCAAAGTTGCAACCATCCTTTGCGATAGCTCTTCACCACCTTCTTTTCTGGCTGGTGCAATAGCATCCAGCTCATCAATAAAAACCTATACAACGAGTTTCCTAATCAGCAATATCCAAAACATATCAGGCAAATGACAAGCATAAACATCATCTAAACTTTTGAAGTCTACATATCACAATATCTAGGAACCAAGGAAACAGATCTAACCAGAGGGGGCAGCTTCACTAGCTGACTTGAAGACATCATGGAGTCCCTGTTCACTTTCCCCGTGATATTGGCTGACAATTTCAGGTCCATTCACTTTAAAGAAGCTAACTCCAGCATCATGAGCACATAGTTGAGACAAGGACGTCTTCCCGGTTCCAGGTGGCCCATGTAGCAGCACTCCTTTTGTTGTTCGTAACCCCAGACTAAAATAGTTAAATACTAATCAAGATACAATATCAAAAATTGAAAGGGAATCATAATGAAGCTCCTGTATGATAGACAAAAATGAGTACATAAGGAAGCATCTACTAACAATATCAAACATTTTATTCGTCATGATAAGAAGAAAGTCACCATGATGGTAATCGATCCAGTAAGCTAAAGGTGCAACAGACACTAGTACAGCTACTTTTTCAGGTGTTCAACAATCTGAAATCTAGAGTTAAAGCCATTCAGACTCAATATAATTTGCCAGGTTCAATAAATTGTCATTTTTTTTTTCTTCATATATTCCACAATTTCTTTAGCTTCTTGCAAAAAATGATAGCATATTTCGCATACATTAGCTATAGTGAAACTAGTGATAATATTGGGGATCAAGTGCACTCACAATGCACTTTGCTACATGATAGTGAATGTTGCTGAAAGCTAATAAGAACAAATGCTACCATCAGAAGCTGTAAGTGTCTCCATATGAGCTTAGTCATAGAAAATTACAAGTAAACTGGAAAATAAATATTTAGACTGGCAATTAATAACAAACCTTGACAAGGAATTCTTCACTGATGAAGAGATGATTTCTCGCAGAAGCATGTATTCCTTCCATAGTCCGCCCAACATTGTACTTCCAACTCCCATTTTTACACTGACTTCCTTAGATTCCATTTTACCAGGACTTGAAGTTATTTTCTCTGGAGTCTCTGACGATACTGTTGACTGTGAACCAATTTTTATTTTTGTTGCACGATCTATGATAAATGCCTCTTTATCACAATGAAGTAGAGGAGTTTGGTTAGGATTTCTGGAAGTACTATCAGATGACAAACTTTTTAAACCCACCACTTCGAAAAGGCAAAGTCTAGAGAGCACTGGGACTGTCACGAGATTTCCACAAAGTAAAGCACGAGAACATAACCATGAAACAGCAGTACGCTGCAGAAGTTTGTTTGCGTCTTTATCTTCTAGGATTTCTTGCATCTCAATTGCGTCAAAATATGATACCTTTATGCCATTTAAATGAGAGTTTAAATCTTCAGATGTCAGTAAACTCTTGCTAGAACTTGGAGAGCACGGCCTTGAGCGCTCAAGTGAGGGTGTCCGAGGGGAAGAAGGGTTGCCATTTTCATACAGTTTCATGGTTTTGCCTATAGAATTTCTAGATGGGGAAGATGCATCCATACTCTTTGCTGAAGCATTTTTGAATGGTAGCAGTCTTAACGATAGTGCTTTGCAGTAATATACTGAAGAATGGTCCACAGAAGAGCTGTGAAGCTTTCCATTGCTTTGTATATGCGTAGTCAATGATCCACCCTGAATAGGTTGCACAAACAAAACTCTCCTAACAGAAGGACAACCCAATGTATAATTCAGATTAGAAGAGATTTTAACTCCATTCTTTGAAAGCTGCAAGAGACAACACATGAGACACAGTCAATAGGATGCATACCCATCATTGGCTATATGGTTTTCGAATTCAAAGTACATGTTGAATTGGGTTCTCAACATAGATCTAATTAGACCTGGCAATCCTAACCCAAACCCGATGACCCGACCCATGACCCGAAATTGACCCAACAACATTGACCCGAAACTTGAAATTGACCCGACCCGAAAATGGAGTTGACCCAATCCTGACCCGACACCCAGTTGATCCGACCCGAAGTGTTTGACCCGAACAAGCCCGATACCCAAAATTGACCCGAACAGACCCGATACCAAAAATGTCCCGAACTAAAATTACCTTTTAATTGAACTTAAAATGTCTTGTAGTTAAAATTACTCAAATTGTTCATCTTCAACCGTAGCTAAGCTCATAAATTGAATTGATAGTTTTTATTATATCAGTAAACAAAATATATACTTCATATAAAATTATTCATTTGAGCTTGATTCACAAATGAAACAACCCGAACATGAACCGATCAGATTTTGACTTGACCCGTATATGACCCGAACATACTCGACCCAACCCGAACTTGACCCGAAACCCGAATCGACCCGACCCGAAAGTGACCCAACCCGAAAGTGAACGGACCAGACCCAACCCGAATGACCCATTTGCCAGGTCTAGATCTAATACATGGTAAAATTATATATCCACTTGTCAAGAATTTCAAACCAACCCCCCCCCCCTCCCCCCCTCCCAAATCCCCCACTCCAAACAATTTTAAAAAATCCTTAAAATGATGGCTAGTCTTATGTGCACCATGTCATGTTCCTTGATTTACAAATAAAGGCCTTCAATTTTTTTTCCGGACAAAAAAAGGTGAGCGAACCAGCTAAAAAATCTTTCAGCAATATATTGATTAGCTTGTGCTATAGAACAGCAATACCCAAAATTTGGGTTTCTCAGTATACAATTGATTAACTCTGATAAGAGGTGATTTTTTTTAAACTCCAATCCTTTTTCCAGTTAAATTCCATTAAACTCAATAAACCAAAATTCAAAAGGAGTAAATTTTTTCACTTAGACCTTACTAGAAGGAAATGCTGCTGCAAGGGCAAAATAGTTTCCTGCTTTGTTATCCAACTTCCCATCCCAATGAAGTCCAAATTGTTCACTGCATTCTGCAGACAATGAACTTAAAGGAAAACTACTGTTTGAATATCCAATTATCGAAGCGAGTGATACCTGCCACATTACGCAAAATCCGTAAATTATATACACAATAGTATACTAATATTACAATTATCAACAAACTAATTACCCTCCAAAACACACAACTAGTGCATAAGAGCAACCCACATTAAAATGACAATTACAATTAACAACAAGTACCCACAATAAGCTTTCAAGTGCATTTAACAATAATACCTCATCTCATACATAAATCACTAAATGTTGAAATAAATACAAAACATGATATAATTATACTAAATCAGTCCTCTATTTCCTTCAAATTTGTTCATCAAACTTGCAATTTTAAGTAAACAAAAAGTATTTATAATCAGGAACCACGAAAGCTAGGGCAATTAACATATAATTCAATCAAAATAAACCAAACCCACAAAATTACAGGACTATAAAAACACAAATTATCTCTTATAATGCAATTTCACAAGAACAATCTGTCATATAATAGAAAAAATCTGAGCAAGTAAATACAGTAAATACAATCATACTACTAAATTAGAAATAGTAGAAGAAATACCGAAACAAGGGAGGCAGAAAAGATGGAAGAAGCAAGCATAGACGATTCAGAAAGCCAAATTTTGCAACGCTTTTGGTGGGGGGAGGAATCGAACTCGGATAATTGGGCAATAAGAGAAGATTGAGCGATGGAACAAGGGAACTTTCTGGAAGCTTCTTGGAGGGTATTTTGGAGGTCAATTTCAGAGAAAAAGGAGGAAGAAGAATGAGAAGAAGGTGAAGAAGGTGGGTTTTCTTGTTGTGATGATTGAAGCTTTGATATTGGAGTTTTTGATGATTTTTTCTTTGATTTTGAAGACATTTTGTCAATATGAAAGTGTGCAAATTGTGTATTGAAGGGTTGGTTTTGCTACTGGAGACTGTGAGTATACAAGAAGGAGAAAGGGCAGGAATGAGGGAAGGTTTTTTTTTGGGATGTTAGTGGGGCGGGTTTAGTAGGAGACCCGCCATCGGGGCGGGATGGGTCTAGCGTTGGCAGGTCGCGGGGCGGGGATGGGTCTAAAATCCATACCCGCCATGGGTGATGGGGCGGGGGTGGTTTTTATGTAATACTCGCCTCGCCCCGCCTCGCCTGATCCACCCAGTATTTGCCTAGCCCCGCCTGACCCACCCCATATCCGACCTATACCTGCTTTATACCCACCCCATTCCCTCGCGTAAGACCCGACCCATAGCATACAGGTGATAATAATGCGATAAAAAAAATATATACTACACCTAATGTCCTAATGAAATCTCTAGAAAACTAGAACCCAGTAACCCACTTACCCACCCTCATTCTCAAAACAAAAACCCTAGCCTACTCTCTCAGTCGTCTCTCCTCTCACCTCTCTCCTCTCTCCTCTCAAGCGCTGAATCTACTTCCTCACACCCCTCTCTTCGATCCTTCTTCTTCAACCTCGTGTGCAATCGGATCAGTTTCGACTAAATGGGTATATTTCTCGTCAATTTATTTGATAAAATTTTACGTTTTTGTTTGATCTAATTGAATTCAATTGTATTAACTTTGTTTCCCCTTTTTTTTACAATTGATGATGGTACTTCGGTTATATTCCATTTTAGATTAAGTTAATCTCGCCGCTCTGATCAAATCTCTCCTCTCAACGCTGCGATCTGCAATTCTTCAATTCTATTTGCGAGTTTCATTCAATCCTGCAACTCATTCAATTTAGGTAAACGTTTTCGCATTATTATCTTTGAATTTTCTGGTATTTGTCCTTTTTTGTAGATATGTAACCCATTTGTTCCTTGATTAAAAGCGAATACAGTTGGAGTTCCGTTTAATTTTCTCCTGGTGTCATTTTTTGTTATGTGAAAATTTTAATTCTTTGTTATGCGAATACAGTTGGATTGAATGATATTTTTTTGTTATGTGAAATTTTTTTTTATGCGAATACAGTTGGATTGAATCATAATTTTTTGTTATGTGAAATTTTTTTGTTATGCACTTATGCGAATACAGTTGGATTGAATCATAATTTTAATTCTACGACTTTTCTATGTGAAAATGTGATAGATGATGATATAAAAAAAACAAATAATACACTGGAGGATTAATAGGAAGAAATAAATAAGACAACGAAGGACTGGAGTAGTAAGAGGAATAAAGAGTGAGACATGAATTTGAATAGCTCTTGATAAATAGACTTGCAACAAGTGACAATAGGCTTTGTTGTGATATCACTTTCTTGGTTGAAGATTGTCTTGAGTTGTTTGGAAAAGTTGAAGGTGTGCTGGCTGTAATAGTTAAGATCCTCACTATGTTCCTAGTGCTCTATAGATTGTTAGGAGAGGCCCCTTTTCCCTTATCTTTGAATTCATGTTTTTTTTTTTTAAATCTTAACTTACACTATCAGATTTTTAATGTCTTAGGAGTAAGGTCCTTAGTATGAGCCTTGGTTGCATGGACTTGAATACTTGAGCTTTGCTGGACTATGAAAAAACTTTTTGTAATTGAACAAACTTCAAATGGTTTTTTATTTATTTATTTATTTTTTAATGTTTGGGCTCACCAATTACTATAACGAGTTTGAGACGAGCAATGGCCCAATTTGACAAGCACGTTTTGAGCTAGAGGTTATCGAACTTGGCGAGTATAGATCACGTTGTGTTGAGCACAGTTCAACTACGAACTACTCACTCAGCAAGAATCAGAAGTTGTCTGGTTACTCTGTCGAGTACATTGTGATAAGTAATGATATGAGTTTATGCATTGATAGGCCTTTCAACATGATATCTTCTAATAGCTGTGCTAGAAGCATGATCTGCCTGTGCTGCTGTGCATTGCTATTATTATTGCTGTTTCTGAGATGTCAAATGTGTTCAATACTGCAGTCAATATGTATGGTTTTGCAATTGAATTGCTGATTAGTGTTCAGATTAAGTTGAAGGGGGGTAGTGTGGTGGTGGTAGTCTAGGTTCTTACTTATTAAGGAGGGATAGTTAAGGGTGAGTGGATACTTAATGGTTACAAAAGTTTGCTAAGAATTTCTTACTTGTTCCTGAAGTTGAATCCTACCTCCCTTGATTGTGTGACTATTGCAATGGTTGATAAATGAAAATTTTACAGTACCAAGGATTTCATGCAGTGTTGTTGGCTGTAATATATATATTCTTGTAATCTTATTCGACGATAAGAGATGTAACTGTTGTTGATCCATTAATTCATTTTAGCTTTACACTTTGAAGTGAAATGACAAATGCATTGATGTGATTTTAATTTCTTCTAACTACTGGTGTTTTTAGATTATTATCACTTTCATATGTTTGGTTTTCTATGTTCACTGATTTGTTCATGTCTAGTGCATTAATTGTCTTCATTTAATTTTTATAGGGAAAAATGACATCAAAGAATGAGAATAATGCTAGTGTTCCAACTTCAGCTAGTAATGCTAATGTTGAATTAGTACTGTGTTATACTATGACTTCTATGTAGTTTGAATGTATGGTCTTAATTCTTAACCGATGACTCCCTTCTATAGGAACATTAATGCTCTGAAGATTGCCGGTAATAATAGCATCAAAGGCTATCAATTACCCAATTTTTCTTCGTCTTCTTCCTCCGCGACAATTCTCTCTCCTTACAATGGTAGGAGGCAGGGAAAGTATTAGCTTTTCCTTCTCCTCTTTACCGAGGTTTATCTCTTTATCCTCTATGTTTATGTTTGAAGTTGATTGATAAATAAGCTAAGTAGAACAATTATTTGAATTACATTTACTTTTGTTAGTTTAAGTCATGTACCCAGTGATTAATTGATTATTAATCGATTTGTATATTAGGGATCGAGAACCAATTATTGTATCGATAAAGATTTTTTATTAATAGTTCAAATCATTTTTATAGGTCTAAAAATTCTTATTTTAAATTTTGTGTTATTGTGCTTTGTAATCTGCAGTTTAGCTGGAGGAAGAGAGCATGGAGACACGAGAAGCAATCGTGGTGGATCAAGAGGCTGTGGTCGTGATCGTGGTGCTCCTACCGGTACTTCAGATAGTATTGATACTCTTGGTAGACTGTTGTAAGTACTACACAACCTTTTTTGTCTATACATTATTTCCTTTGCATTATGAAGACTCTTTTTCCTTATAAACATTGCAACCCTTTTTCACGAGGCTCAAGACTGTTAACGTTTTGTTGTTTTTGTATTGGATTTGGAAACATAATCAAGCATTTTGTGTTTATTAGGGTACGTATATTGAGACATAATGCGACGGAGCTGAATTTGGACATGCGTAATGATGGATATGTCAAGCTTCAAGATTTATTAAAGCTGAACATGAAAACAAGGTCAAATATCCCATTAAGCTCACATTCTATTGATGAAATTAGAGAAGTAAGTCCCATTGCTTTTTTTTTCTCACGCATTGATGATCACCCAATCGTGTAAAATAAGTTGATAGTTGATACAAATTTAATGATTAGATTATAGTTCTGTTGTGTTTCCATATTTCATTTAATCCTTAGGCACAATTCACAGTTTTCTTCATTCCTACTTTTTTTTCATTGAGCATTTCATATGATCAACCATCATAGACATATTTTTCTAGTTTATCTTTTACAAGTGTCCTTGAATCTTTCCCCTTCAATTTGTGTGCCTTCCTACCAATTATTTATGACCAGAAGTCGTATGTATTCATTTCTATAAATTCTGATGATGTGAAAAGATTTTTAAAGATAAACTTTTTTCATTATACTTCGTATATTCAATCTCTCTCCCTCCCCCTCTCCCCCAAACCCCAAGTATTTCCAATCTCTCCCCTCCCCTTTTCGATCAAGTACTGAAATTAACTCATTGCTTTTCCAAAAGAAAAAAAAGACAAACAACAGCTATAATATGATACAGTTTTAGACATTGTATTTCCTTTTATTAGACTACTTTTTTTTTATCCAAATTTGATACAAGTACATATGTATTACGGAGTACAATTTACCCAAAAACTTTGCCAATTTGAAACCCAACAAGCTTGAGTAGGTTCTATTTTAGAATCTAAGCATAGAAGTAATTTGGGGCCACTTAGGCCCAAAGTCTTGTGGAAGCCCAATCAGCCTTAGGTTGACCTAAACCTAGGATTGGCACACATCCCAAGGCGTATAAATACCTTCATTAATCCTCATTAAAGGGGGATTCGGCAAATAATTACTCTCACCTAGAGAACCTAAACACACTGATCACTCCTCATCTAGAGGAACCAGATCTCCCAATCTTTACTTTTCCGCATTTATTACTCCTCAAAGAAGTACTAACTTGACCGTCGGAGGCGGAACTCCCACCACAAGGAGTCTCCGTTGTTTTGCAGGTACAAGCGCAAGGAGACCAGTCCCGGAATTGTAACTCTCCCGCAGGACATCAAAAAACCCTAAAACACCAGTGATTAATTGATTATAAATCGATTTGTATATTCGGAATTGAGAACCAATTATTGCATCGATAAAGATTTTATATTAATAATTCAAATCATTTTTATAAGTCTAAAAATTCTTATTTTAAATATGTGTTTTGTAATCTGCAGTTTAGTCGGAGGAAGAGAGCATGGAGACACGAGAAGCAATCGTGGTGGATCAAGAGGTCGTGGTCGTGGTCGTGGTGCTCTTTCTGGTACGTTAGATAGAATTGATACTCTTGGTAGACTGTTGTAAAAACTACACAACCTTTTTTGTTTATATATTATTTCCTTTGCGTTATGAAGACTCTTTTTTCCTTATAAACATTGCAACCCTTTTTCACGAGGCTCAAGACTGTTAACATTTTGTTATTTTTGTATTGGATTTGGAAATATAATCAAGCATTTTGTGTTTATTAGGGTACGTATATTGAGACATAATGCGACGGAGCTGAATTTGGACATGCGTAGTGATGGATATGTCAAGCTTTAAGATTTATTAAAGCTGAACATTAAGACAAGGTCAAATATCCCATTAAGCTCACATTCTATTGATGAAATTAGAGAAGTAAGTCCTATTGCTTTTTTTCTTACGCATTGATGATCACCCAATCGTGTAAAATAAGTTGATAGTTGATACAAATTTTATGATTGGATTATAATTCTACTGTGTTTCCATATTTCATTTAATCCTTAGGCACAATTCACAATTTTCTTCATTCCCACTTTTTTTCATTGATCATTTCATTAGATCAACCATCATAGACATATTTTTCTAGTTTATCTTTTACAAGTGTCCTTGAATCTTTCCTCTTCAATTTGTGTGCCTTCCTACCACTTATTTATGACCAGAAGTCTTATGTATTCATTTCTATAAATTCTGCTGATGTGAAAAGATTTTGAAAGATTAACTTTTTTCATTATACTTCGTATATTCAATCTCTCTCCCTCCCCCTCTCCCCCAAACCCCAAGTATTTCCAATCTCTCCCCTCCCCTTTTCGATCAAGTAATGAAATTAACTCATTGCTTTTCCAAAAGAAAAAAAAGACAAACAACAGCTATAATATGATACAGTTTTAGACATTGTATTTCCTTTTATTAGACTACTTTTTTTTTATCCAAATTTGATACAAGTACATATGTATTACGGAGTACAATTTACCCAAAAACTTTGCCAATTTGAAACCCAACAAGCTATTTGAGTAGGTTCTATTTTAGAATCTAAGCATAGAAGTAATTTGGGGCTTTTATTTTCTTGGCTCTGTAAAAACATGCAAATAAATTCAAGGCTTTATTTTATTATATTCTTATAATAGCTCATACTTATATCTTTGGCATTGATTCTTTTAGTTCTTTTGTTCTCAATACACTACACTTTGACACTGATCTGCATATTTTTCAGGCTATAAGGATAGACAATAAGCAGAGGCTTGGCCTTTTGGAAGAGGATGGAGAACTGTGGATACGTGCAAACCAAGGTCATACTGTAAAGGTTAGCTATTTTTGCAGTAGTATTATTGTGTATTAGTATAGAAAAAATTGTGAAGAACTGCTCATGAGTCAATAACAAGTTTCGTTTCCTGATCTATGCTCTGGACTAATAGAGAAGACCTAGATTGTTGGATTCTACTTTAGTTCTTCAGTTCATAAGCTAATTAAAATAGACTTGACTCATCTTGGAAATAATGGAGGATCTTTTTAATTTAAACTGGAAAATATACAATTATAAGTGGAAATGAATAATTATTTCGTGAATTCAAAATGGAAGTAACAATCTTTTTTGCATTGCCGTGCTACATATTCTTTATTCCTAGTATGGCTTTGTTTGGTTAAAATAGGAGAGACAGTTAAAGAAGGGAAAAGAAAAGGAAACCCCTAATTTACGGAATATGTTTGATTGGGAAGGGCAATTGTATGCTTTTTTTTTTTAGTCGGTGATGTGGTTAGGAATAAACTCTCTTTAATCCCTCAAGGTAAGTGTCCCTTTCTCAGCACTCTCCCTTTCTCGGCACCCTCATTATGGTGTCTTTTGTTGTACCCATCACCGACAACTTCATCTTTATCTTGTTGTCAACCTTTTTTTTCTTGTTCCCTCTCAATATCCCTTCACCCGTAACAACCTCCATCTGCTGGTCAACTCACTCCTAGGTTTTTACCTTTCCCACCCCACAGTCCCCTCCGCTAACAATTCTATCCTCATCGTGCTATTTAGAATTGATGTCCTTGGTAGTGCACGAGCTTCCTACTAACTCTCTGTCTCATTAGTTCAGTTCCCTAGTGCTCCTTTGGTAGTAAAATTGACCATGAAGCTCTTAATCTGGAGCCTTGCTGGTCAAATCCAATTATTTATAGCTTGTAGTGCACAAGTTTCCTACTAGCTCCTTGTCTCATTAGTTCGGCTCCCAGGGCGCTCCTTTGGTAGAAGAATTGACCATGAAGGATCTTAATCTGGAGTCTTGCTGGTCAAATTTCACCATTTATGGCTCACCATTGTTGTGGTTAGCCGACAGGTATTCATATACACTTTTAAATATGCTGTTATTGTGTCCTTTTTTGTTATGATTGGGGCATTTTCACTGGGAAATAAATTGGCATATGGAGTGAGGAATATAGTGTGTTGCACTTGTGGGCATAAGAATGGGGAAGGTAGTATGTTAAAGTTGAGAACATTTGGCCTGGTCCATGAGTATATATAGCAATAAAGGGGAATGGAATGATTGGAAATACTTGGTGTTTGGGGAGAGGGAGAATATGATGAATCGAGTTTGATTTTGATTTTTTATTTTTTGAATAGGGGGATTGAGGCTAAAATTTGTGTGCAAAATGGCCCTTTGCTTATTTGCTATGTCTTTTATGGGAATGTAGAGGCAAATTTTAAAAAATTAGGTTTTTAGGTATCGCCATCCGAATTTGTTTCAAGCTTTTTTACCCATTGGCATTGGCAAAAGAAATATGGCCATGACCCTTGGCTTTTCAATTCCATGTGAGGTTTAGGGAGTAGTCTTTGGAGCTTGGGGAAAATCCACCTAGTGCTTTGTTTTATTTTCTTTCTAAAAACAATAGATGTTTCATGATGAACTCTTTTTCGTAACATTTGCTTCACTGTTTTTTCTCTCTTTGGCTATTTAGTCTGTAGAGAGTGAGAGTTTATTGAAGCCGATCCTTTCTACTGAAGAGGTCCCTGGTATGCACTGCGCTTAAGGACTCAGATCTCCATATTGCTTGCTGGCAAATTACTCTGTTTAGAAGATAACTTTTAGAAATTTCTTTCATATGTAGTTTGTGTTCATGGTACACATAAGAGGCTTCTTCAATCTATTCTTGCATCTGATCTCAAGCGAATGAGCAGGTTGCACGTTCACTTTTCATGTGGCTTACGATCAGATGGAGAAGTAAAAAGTGGTATGTAAACTGTATATGGAGAGTTTTCCTATTCAGTTTTTTAGTCTTTTATGATTTCCTGTGGACCATTAAGATTTGCAATCTTCTGCATGTTTCTTTTGTTGATTTATTTCTCATAATTCTCTCACCACACCGTGAGCAGTATTGTTATCCATATATTATTATTTAGTACATGACAAATTCTGTAAATTGATAACATAGTTACTAATGTGATCAACGGTGATATGTTAAAAATTCCTATGAATCTTCAATGATGTGTTTTGGGCCATTTTTTCCGGGTTTTAGGCGTGATGTTAACATGATAATCTTCATAGACACAACGAAAGCAATGGAAGGTACACTTCCAAGTTTCTGTATTTTATATCTATAACTCTGCTGCTCATAGCTTGTCGAAAGTAATTTTTAGTGACAACATAGACCCCCCCTCCCCCTGACCAAATCTGATGCAATTTTTTTCACATGTCTTACCTTGGCAGATGGAATGAAGTTTTACAAGTCTGAAAATGAGGTAATACTAATAGAAGGCTTTGATGGCGTTGTCCCTGTTAAATATTTCCAGAAAATCGAGTCATGGCCTAAAAGAAACCCGGTGCCTTTCGAAGTTTAAATTATATAGACAAATGTATTACTTCCTATGTACCCTTATTATAGTTGAATCCGTATACAAGTATTCTTTTCATCAACATGTCCACGTTGGACTTCTGACTCACAAAACAATCTGATTTAAATAGGAATAGAGGTAGTATTAATGAGGTTATGTGACATTGACATGATATAGTATATTATGTAAATGTAAATTCTGTTGTTAAGCTGATTTTTGTTTCATAGGCAATATCAAACCTGGAAAAATGGTTAAATTTGACCGGAAAGACTCCAGATTAAGATCCTTCATGGTCTATTCTTCTACCAAAGGAGCGCCCTGGGAGCCGAACTAATGAGACAAGGAGCTAGTAGGAAACTTGTGCACTACAAGCTATAAATAATTGGATTTGACCAGCAAGGCTCCAGATTAAGAGCTTCATGGTCAATTCTACTACCAAAGGAGCACTAGGGAACTGAACTAATGAGACAGAGAGTTAGTAGGAAGCTCGTGCACTACCAAGGACATCAATTCTAAATAGCACGATGAGGATAGAATTGTTAGCGGAGGGGACTGTGGGGTGGGAAAGGTAAAAACCTAGGAGTGAGTTGACCAGCAGATGGAGGTTGTTACGGGTGAAGGGATATTGAGAGGGAACAAGAAAAAAAAAGGTTGACAACAAGATAAAGATGAATTTGTCGGTGATGGGTACAACAGAAGACACCATAATGAGGGTGCCGAGAAAGGGAGAGTGCTGAGAAAGGGACACTTACCTTGAGGGATTAAAGAGAGTTTATTCCTAACCACATCACCGACTAAAAAAAAAAAAGCATACAATTGCCCTTCCCAATCAAACATATTCCGTAAATTAGGGGTTTCCTTTTCTTTTCCCTTCTTTAACTGTCTCTCCTATTTTAACCAAACAAAGCCATACTAGGAATAAAGAATATGTAGCACGGCAATGCAAAAAAGATTGTTACTTCCATTTTGAATTCACGAAATAATTATTCATTTCCACTTATAATTGTATATTTTCCAGTTTAAATTAAAAAGATCCTCCATTATTTCCAAGATGAGTCAAGTCTATTTTAATTAGCTTATGAACTGAAGAACTAAAGTAGAATCCAACAATCTAGGTCTTCTCTATTAGTCCAGAGCATAGATCAGGAAACGAAACTTGTTATTGACTCATGAGCAGTTCTTCACAATTTTTTCTATACTAATACACAATAATACTACTGCAAAAATAGCTAACCTTTACAGTATGACCTTGGTTTGCACGTATCCACAGTTCTCCATCCTCTTCCAAAAGGCCAAGCCTCTGCTTATTGTCTATCCTTATAGCCTGAAAAATATGCAGATCAGTGTCAAAGTGTAGTGTATTGAGAACAAAAGAACTAAAAGAATCAATGCCAAAGATATAAGTATGAGCTATTATAAGAATATAATAAAATAAAGCCTTGAATTTATTTGCATGTTTTTACAGAGCCAAGAAAATAAAAGCCCCAAATTACTTCTATGCTTAGATTCTAAAATAGAACCTACTCAAATAGCTTGTTGGGTTTCAAATTGGCAAAGTTTTTGGGTAAATTGTACTCCGTAATACATATGTACTTGTATCAAATTTGGATAAAAAAAAAAGTAGTCTAATAAAAGGAAATACAATGTCTAAAACTGTATCATATTATAGTTGTTGTTTGTCTTTTTTTTCTTTTGGAAAAGCAATGAGTTAATTTCATTACTTGATCGAAAAGGGGAGGGGAGAGATTGGAAATACTTGGGGTTTGGGGGAGAGGGGGAGGGAGAGAGATTGAATATACGAAGTATAATGAAAAAAGTTAATCTTTCAAAATCTTTTCACATCAGCAGAATTTATAGAAATGAATACATAAGACTTCTGGTCATAAATAAGTGGTAGGAAGGCACACAAATTGAAGAGGAAAGATTCAAGGACACTTGTAAAAGATAAACTAGAAAAATATGTCTATGATGGTTGATCTAATGAAATGATCAATGAAAAAAAGTGGGAATGAAGAAAATTGTGAATTGTGCCTAAGGATTAAATGAAATATGGAAACACAGTAGAATTATAATCCAATCATAAAATTTGTATCAACTATCAACTTATTTTACACGATTGGGTGATCATCAATGCGTAAGAAAAAAAGCAATAGGACTTACTTCTCTAATTTCATCAATAGAATGTGAGCTTAATGGGATATTTGACCTTGTCTTAATGTTCAGCTTTAATAAATCTTAAAGCTTGACATATCCATCACTACGCATGTCCAAATTCAGCTCCGTCGCATTATGTCTCAATATACGTACCCTAATAAACACAAAATGCTTGATTATATTTCCAAATCCAATACAAAAATAACAAAATGTTAACAGTCTTGAGCCTCATGAAAAAGGGTTGCAATGTTTATAAGGAAAAAAGAGTCTTCATAACGCAAAGGAAATAATATATAAACAAAAAAGGTTGTGTAGTTTTTACAACAGTCTACCAAGAGTATCAATTCTATCTAACGTACCAGAAAGAGCACCACGACCACGACCACGACCTCTTGATCCACCACGATTGCTTCTCGTGTCTCCATGCTCTCTTCCTCCGACTAAACTGCAGTTTACAAAACACATATTTAAAATAAGAATTTTTAGACTTATAAAAATGATTTGAATTATTAATATAAAATCTTTATCGATGCAATAATTGGTTCTCAATTCCGAATATACAAATCGATTTATAATCAATTAATCACTGGTGTTTTAGGGTTTTTTGATGTCCTGCGGGAGAGTTACAATTTCGGGACTGGTCTCCTTGCGCTTGTACCTGCAAAACAACGGAGACTCCTTGTGGTGGGAGTTCCGCCTCCGCCGGTCAAGTTAGTACTTCTTTGAGGAGTAATAAATGCGGAAAAGTAAAGATTGGGAGATCTGGTTCCTCTAGATGAGGAGTGATCAGTGTGTTTAGGTTCTCTAGGTGAGAGTAATTAATTGCCGAATCCCCCTTTAATGAGGATTAATGAAGGTATTTATACGCCTTGGGATGTGTGCCAGTCCTAGGTTTAGGTCAACCTAAGGCTGATTGGGCTTCCACAAGACTTTGGGCCTAGGTGGCTGGTTTTCCCATTTGGCATGGTGGAGGCCACGTGTCGTGGCATAAGAGGTCCAAGGTGGACTACTCAACACTTGACATGTGGTAGGCTCCAATTGGTCCATGTGGCGGACACTTGGCAGAGCCTGAATGGTCCACTTGTTAGATGATGATTGGTAGGGAAAATCCCCTAATCATTTGCCCCTCACAGGTGGCACGTGACTGTTCACATGTCACCTGTGAGAGGTGTCGGCCTGTAACAGGCGACGACCTGCTACAAGTGTCGGCCTGTGATGTGCCGAGCATTTTTCCCGCTCATTTTTTGAATTCAAAAGTGACCCTTCGCATTCTCAGTTTACCCTATATAAGGGCATGTTGACCAAGTCTTTTGTTCACATTTGCAAACTTTTTCAAGAGAACTCTCGGACCCGTGAACTTGAGCTTTGACTTTCTGGACGACTGCTTTGGCTGTTATGAGGCGGCCATTAAGGCTGGTCTGCGATTTCCCTTGCATCCGGCCGTTCAACAAATCCTCGATGGATACGAGGTGGGGCTATGGCAGTTAGCCCCGAATTCTTGGTTCAACATCCTTGGCTATGTAGCCGGGTGTGAAATGCATGGGGTGGAGCTGAATTTTGAGGCGTTCACCCATATAAATTACCTCAGCCGAACCCCCAAAGCAAGCGGTACCGGCTGGTATCAAATAACGAGCCACAAAGGCTATCTGATGACGAGGGGCAAAGAAAATAAATGGAAGGATTGAGAAACACCTTCCTCATCATTGCCAGCCCTGACAAGCTGCTGAACAAGCGCTACAATAGGTGGAACAAGGATCCACCTCTTCTAGCAGGCGGTCGCAGCATGCCGCTTGTCCCCCTAAAGGCTAGGGAAGTGATCCTTGATCGAGGACTCTTCAAAGTAGAGATTAGGGCAAACTCTACTACTGGGGTACGAGAGAAAGTGCCCCTAAACTGTGTCCCAAAGTTTCAATGGCTCTATGACGAGTATTTTTTGGCCGCCTGTGGCCTTAGCAGTCGGTCCTCCAGAGGTAGCCGGCCTCTTGAGCATATGTACACATCTTTGGCCTTGCTTTCGAATTTTTTCTAACTCTTTGCGGTTTTATTTTTAGCTGAAGCTATGGACCACATTTCTGCGTGAAAGAAGGCGACCGCCTTGCTGCGGACCTCCATCATGCAGCAGAAGTGGACCTCTTCTAATTCTCCTGCCAAGGAGACGCCCATAGTGAGTTTCTGATCTTTTAAACTGTGCCTTGAAAGTTTTCTATTAGTAGTATTGACCATTCATATTTTTCACAGGCGGGCACTTCCAAACCCTCTTCCTCCCAATAGTCGGACTCAAAAGTTCGGAAGACGACTACTGGGAGTACGCCTGGATCTGCCAAGAAGCAGTCGGCTGACAAACAGCCGATCACCCCACAAAGTGTGGGTAAACCATCACAAGTCCTTAGGGACAGTCGGCCGCCGAGAGGTATAATATAGCTTTGCTAGACTTAAACTTTGGATGCAAGCGGCCCTCAAGAACCAGACTTGGTCGAGATGGCCTAGTCTATGATCAAGGCTATCCCTCTAGAGGAGAGGGATGCAGTCAAGGGAGTCGGCACCCTTGACTTAGACGGCATCATGGGTATCTGAGGTAGACTTAGAATTTTATAATATCAACCTTTCCTGCCGCCTGTTATTTTCAAACCTGGCGCTTGTTTGGTTATTTTCAAATCTGACGCCTGGTTTTCTCTTTTTCAGACCTTGCTGCGAGTACACGGCCTCCGTAGGCCGATTAACGCCAAGAATAAAGAGGTAAAGACTGCTAAAGCTATGGCCGCCTTTGACGTTGATAAGACAATGTTTCAAATTGCCCAAAATGAAATTTTGACAACTGATATTCTTTATTATCAGGCGCAGGCCACTTCCACTATCCGCACTGAGTTGGAGGCGGCCAAGAAGAAGACCAACAAGCTGGAGCTGGCGGTCAAGAGTCTCAAAGATGAGCTGCGGCCCCATAAAAACATCGCCCATAAGGATGAAGATTTGCAGACGTCTCTTGACACACTCAAGGAGCGGCTGGAGAAGCAGGAGGCGACCATCACCAAAGATCTTAATGCGAAGGCCGAGGCTGAAAGATGGCTTTAGTTCAAGCCATGATGGAGGACTGGGCTCAGATTATGAAGATGAACTGGACAACCCTCTTCCCAAAAGCTCATTATGCCGCCTGGGAGAAAAAGTTCAACGCTTGTACTGAAGCGTACAACCAACAGATCTTGAGGCAGGCGACTTAGGAAGACGAGGCGGTTGACTCCAGCTTAGAGGAGGAAGAGGAGGTGGTGGCCCTGCAACTGATTGAGGTGGATGAGCATAAAGCTCCTGCCCTTGAAGGCGAGTCATCAAAAGAGGGGGCTTTGAAGTATCAAGCACACAACGCTAAGCTCGATCAGGCGACAGTTGAACCTCAAGCTCCTCCCAATGTTTAAAGCTTTCATTTTTTCAACTTTTCTCCGGCCTGCGTGCCGTTTGTTCTTGTATCAGTTTACCCGGCCAGGGGGCCGGGGTTATTGAATATTTTGCTGGTCTTTATGGCCGGCTGTTTATTTGAATTCGGTGACCATCTTTCGGTTGTCTTTGATCACAAAATCTTGTTTTATGCTTTATTTTTGCAAAGTATAGAGGATCCTACTATCCGCTTGTATGTTATACCGACTGTTTCGGCTAAAAATGTTTTAAAATTTGTAACTTATCGTAAGCCAAAGATGGCAAACAGGTACTAGGTACTGACTGCCTATGCCCCTGGACGACTGGTTGTCTTGGTTCAAGGTTAGGCGATCAGTCGGCCATTTACCAAGTCGGACCCCCAATGTATTTTAGGAAATACGTTAGGTTTGTTTAACTTTTATAAGTTAGAAAGGAACAGGTTGCTTATAACCAGCCCGCCTGTTTGTTTAATAGGAATAGTTATTGAGTCCCTGTTTGCCAAAAAGCAGTCGACCTACGAACCAGATTTTCAAACATGTTTGGTTTGAAAAGAAATCATCTTAGTAGGGGTCGTGGTACGAGAGCTCTGGTTTGCCTTTAGACAGGCGGACTCGTCATACCTTTTTGGATCCTTACTAAGTATGAGAGAGTGACTTATGAGTAATCTTTGAGGTTACCCATTCGTCAGCTTTTATGCTTGAGTAGTAGAGGTACCAGGCGACAGAGGCCGGATGATCCCCTTAATTGACCAATTTTTGTTGGCTATTTACTCAAGAGGTACCGACTGTACTTATCCCAAGTAATACAGACGGTCATCTGACGCGGATGTTAACTGCTAACACTTGTTTGGTTTAGTGTTAGAGTTATCCTTGTCTCAAAAATGGCTACGTGGTTGTCCTTGGGGACAGTCGTCTAGGTGTCGTGTAATTAGTTTATAGAACAATGTTCCACCCAAAAGGGAGCTGCTCTCTGCAACGAATTTCATCTGGAGGGATTTCGTCGGACGACTGCTATGATGTTGGGACAGGTCGTATTAATTTAAAGATTGGATCAGTTGGCTTGGCGCCTGGTCTGATCATTCGACCAAAGGCCTTAGGTAGTTCATGGTGAACTAAGTGTAGGAGAGTAGCCAGCTGTATAGTTACAGGCGGTGTGCCCCTCTTAATTGAATGCATATTTGAGTAAAATGGAGAGTAGCCGACTGTTTTGCTAGTTGGCATGCCCATCAATTGATGAAAAAATGGAGAGTGCAGCAGGCGGCATGCCTCTCTGTGTACAATATAGATGAAGCAAAATAGCAAACTTTATTAGTAGCTCTCTGCTATTTACATCATTCAAAAATAATACTTCTTTAAATTATCTACATTCTAGGTTTGAGGCAAGGGTTGGCCGTCTGGTGTTTCTAGGTGGTAGGTGTCGTCCCTGACCTCTTCATAGATTCAGTAGGGTCCTTCCCAGTTGGGAGTTAATTTGCCTGACTCATTAGCCCTACCGACTACTTCCATCTTTCTTAGTACAAAGTCCCCCACTTTGAGTGGACGCCTATGTACTCTTTTGTTATATGACCTTGTCATTCTCATGCAGTAGATTTCATGGCGCAGGGCTGCATTGCCCCTTCGTTCTGTGAGTGAGCCCAATGCCAGGCGCATGGATTCCCAATTCGTCGCTTTGTTATACAGCATTATTCGAAGAGTCGGCTCATAGTGTTCAATTGGAAGAACAACTTCTACCCCATAAGTTAGGAGGAATGTAGTCTCTCCAGTAGCCCCTTTTTCTGTCGTCCTAATGGCCCAGAGAACATGTGGTAGTTCGTTTGCCCATAGGCCGCCTGCTCGTTCAATCTTCTTCTTAATACCGTCTGAGATGATCTTATTAAAAGCTTCTACTTGGCTGTTTGCTTGTGGTCGGCCGACTGATGCAAAGCCATGTGAGATGCCTTGGTCTCCTAGCTAATTTTTGAGAACAGGCGTCTCAAATTGGGGACCATTATCAAAAACCATAGATATGGGCACCC